AAATGTATACACATGCCTTACACATAACCTCTCACATTAAGCCTCTTCTCGGATACAGTTGGCTGTGTGGTCTTTTGGCTCCCGCTGCTGCTAAAGAGAGCAATTTTTCAAGTTTATACCAAATGTCGCTCTATTTCATTTCCAAATATAATCTCCTGGAGAGTAGGTTCACTCTCTCCATTTCCAATCTCTAAAGTTAATACATGAATTTATATTCCTTTCTGTCTCTCGCTTTCTTAAATTAAGAGATGTAATTACTAGTCGCAGTGGCTACAAATGAATAAAGCACTGAGGGAGAAAAGGCTGATAGTGCCGGACGCCTGCAGCAGCTTTCCTTTTTCTTTTTCCTCCCTTCCTCTCTGAGAAGTCTATTTGTGAGGCAGGTTCTCTTTTTTACCGTTAGCAAGTCTCTTTTAAATCTTGGCAAGTCTCAGAACCACTCATTCCTTCTCTTACTAGGAAAGTTGGAAGAAACAAATTACAAAATTATTTCTTGCCTATCAATTAATGTTGATTTGCAAACTGCCTCAGCAGTAGAGAATGAAGCTTTTTGGAAAGTTTTGCTTATCCAGGCCTGATTTCCTAGGCAACAAGCTATTATTACTCCTCCAAATAAGCTGCTATCTAAATTATTATAAGGTGTTCAGAAAGGGTCAGCCTACAATTGAGATGGCCCATCTGTGAGAAGGGAAGGGAGTGAAGAGAATTTCATCTAAAAGAATTGTCTCTTTTAGAGAAGGTCCTAAGTTCTTGGCATAGCTCTAGGATCTGGAGTGTGTTGTGTTAGACAAGGCAAACGTTTTCTATGATTGGTTTCCACATTTTAAACTCCCAAGCTGCAAGCCCTGATTAATTCAATAAAAAATTTGTCTGATTTTTATGTCTACTGTGGACAGGTTTGACAAAATAAAAAGTTAAATATTTAAAAGATGCTATGAAGCAAATATTTTCATTCAGGATTTCTGCTTCTTGAATGAGATGCAGTAGTGTGCTTCAGAATTATAGTCATGTGAATAGACCTGGGAAAGGTGAAATCCAGAAATGAAGCAAGGCTCTCCCTTTGGCACATCCTGAATTATCTACAGGAGAAATCTTTCTCCACATTCTCAAAACACTACAAATAGCAAAGCATCATTTTCTGTATGTTCAATAAATGTGAAGATTGATGTAATGGGCTTGCCTCAGCACTTAGCATAGCCCTTTGCATGTAGTAAGCAGGTGATAAATGATTAATTTAATTGAGTTAACAAGGTATAGTGCAAAGAGCACTAAACTTGGAGCTAGAAAATTTGGATTTGCACCTGGGCTTTAAGCCTCAGTTTCCTTATTTGTATGTTAGGGATACTGTAATTCACATTCCCAACTCAATGTTGCTATAATGAAAAAAACTTTATTAACTACAAAGTGTTATGGAAATAAAAGTTATTATTCTGAATATTTTTGCTATGGTCTCTGAAACAATAAGGTTGTGGTGCCTCTACATCATTGTTGCATTAACCATCATTCAGTTAGTAAGCATTAAATGCCTATATATTCCAGGCACAGGGAACATAAATATACAAGGACCATTAGTACAATGAATGACAGAACAGTTATATCCAGGGAGGTGACTGAAACTGTAGCTTCTCAAACCCATCAGAGAGGTGCATGAATTACTAGCAGAGCCCCTTGCCATATTCTTCTCTGATACAAGTCTGATCCCACATGTCTTTCCTTGAATGGCCAAAAATAGGAGACAGAATTAACCATGGGGGAAGTAGTGGGTGATAGATGAATAGTGAAGCTCACAACTTCCAAGGGATTGTGTGTAGGGTGCTGAATCTGAGCATTAGTCGTAGCATAGTTACATGTCTTTGGAGCAGTCATTGGGCCCTGTCAAAAATGATAAGATTGAGATAATGTTGAAGATAATAGTCACAGTTATGAGAACCAATATTGCTTGACCTCTGGAGTGAGCATATGAAACAGGTGAGATCCAACTATGAAACCAAAAGGCCCAACATGAGCATTCTCCACATACACGCAAACAAAATGTCAACTAAAAAGCATCAGACAAACAGTTGTCATGCAGATGTGTTTACAAAAATGGAGTGGATTGTCATTACACTAGAATTACAGAAAGCTCTTCTGTTAGGAGACTGGATCTGTTGTTCAGTTCAGGTTTTCAGAGGAAGGGTAGGAGCAAACATATATGTAACATATGTAACATATCACCACAGGGTTTCCCCTCTCCCGACCACTGTCTTTCCCCTTTTTATTATTTTTAAATAAATTTAGATGCATTTATAATCTGTTTCCACTACTACCTTCTACCCCAATGAATAAAAGCAACAAAATGAAAAATAAAACTCATATCGCAAACAGATATAATCCAATAAAACAAGTTCTCACATTGATCCTGCTCAAATATATATATCTTTCTGCATTTTGAGTTAACCTCCTTTCTGGAAGGAGGTGAGCACCATTTTCAGGTGTAGATTTTCTGGATTCCTAGTTTGTCATTGCATTGATTAGAGCTCTAAAAGATGTTTTTCTTTATAATATTGTTGTCGTTGGATAAGTTGTTATTCAAATTCTTCTTCTGTGTCACTTTGTAGAAGTCTCATTGTCCTCTGAAACTCTCCATTTTTATCAGTTCTTATGGCATAGTATTATTCCCTTACGTCTTTATAGCATAATTAGTTTAGTCATTACCCAATAGGACAGCCCTTTATTTTCCAATTTTTGGCTACTCCAAAAAAAGCTGCTATAAATACTGTTGGTAATATAAATCCTTTTCCTCCCTCTTTGATTTCTTTGTGGTGTAGGCCTAGTAGTGGTATAGCTGGGTCAAAGAGTATGCACAGTTTAGGAACTCTGGGGGCATAGTTCTAAATTGCTTTCCAGAATGGCTGGACCAGTCCAGAGCTCCATCAACATTGCAGTAATGTGCCTGTATTCTCATAACCCCTCCAGTATTTGTCATTTTCCTTTTTTGGCACTTGCGTCAGTCTGATGGGTATGAAGTGGAATCTCAAAGTTGTTTAAATTGCATTTCTCCATTTAATATGATTTATATCACTTTTTTCTCACGCAGTTATTGAGATCTTTAATTTCTTCTTTAGAAAAATGTCTTCTATCTTTTAACTATTTGTCTATTGGGGAATGGCTCTTAGTTTTATAAATTTGAATCATTTCTTTATATATCTTGTATGTGAGACCCTTATCAATGAAACTTGGTAAGTTTTTCCCCTTTGTTTATGTTTCCTTTCTAATTTTAACTACATTAGATTTGTTTGTACAAAAATTTTTTTTAGAATTTTACTTAATCATAATCATTCATTATATCTTGTGCAATTCTCTCTGTTGCTTATTTAATCATGAACTCTTTTCCTATCTATAGATCTCAAAGGTAATTCTTCCTTACTCTTCTAATCTGTTTTTTTAATAAGTTCACATTTATATGGGTTTTATTTATCTATTTTTTCAATCTTGGAGGCAATGGCGGGGTTAAGTGACTTGCCCAGAGTCACACAGCTAGCTAGTAAGTGTCTGAGGATAGATTTGAACTCAGGTCCTCCTCCTTACTGCAGGGCCAGTGCTCTATCCACTGCACCACCTAGCTGCCCCCTAATCTGTTTTTTCATGTGACTTTTTATATCTAGAAAAAGTATCCACTTGGAACTTATCTTGGTGTATGATGTGAGATGTTAGTCTCAGCCTAATTTCTGTGAGACTACTGTCCTTTTTTTTTGCTTTTTGCTTTTTGGTGAGGCAGTTGTGGTTAAGTGACTTGCCCAAGGTCACACAGCTAGTAAGTGTGAAGTGTCTGAGGCCAGATTTGAATTCAGGTCCGACTCCAAGGCTGGAGCTCTATCCTCTGTGCCACTTAGCTGCCCCTACTGTCCATTTTTCTTAGCAGCTGTTGTTAAATAATAGCTCATAAGCACTATGGATTACAAAAACCATACTGTCTACCAAATACCTAGAAAGATAATTTCCGATAGCAAGAGTTACACACCTGAAGCTCTCTATTCTTCATAAACCAACAGATATCTCCATATTATGAATACAAACCTCCAAATATCTTTGAGAATTCAACCAAAAATTTGTACTAGAACTAGAGCATCATCACAGACAAACCTATTTCCCTACAGTTGCCCATAAAAAATTCAAAAACAGTTTTACTAGATGTTGCTATGCTGAATACTCGTAAGCTCCAAACTCCTTGGAATGAAAAGCTCTCAAAATAGAGAGACTTCATATAATAAAGGAAACCCGCGTGGGAATAGGATGAAGTACAAATCCTCCCTGTCATACCTTGTGCTGTTAATTTATCTCAACGATGTTGTCAGTCAGTCTACAGGAGATAAGCTCATTTGACTACTTTTGTTCAGTTACAAAAAGCTAACCTGCACCATAGCACACCAAATATCACATATAAAAGAACAGTAATAGGACAGTGACTTGTTCATGGTCCATCTCAATCGGAGTATAACATGAGAAGAACAAGAATAACAAACAACAGGAGCTCACGTTTTTATGACAGTCAGTCCTGTGACCCAGGTGCTTAACCCAAAATGTGAATGGACTGAATGATGAGATTGAAGTTGTTTTTCTTCCGGTTGAGTTGGAGGCATGTGAAGACAGTTACTCCCTTAGTCTTCCAAAAGTTATCTAGATATGAAAGTGTGAGCTCTCGTAGCAACACAGAAAATGAATTAATTTTGTCACTGGCATGTTGAAGAAGGGGAAGAGTTCAAATTTTGGTCATATTTGAGATCTCTTGGTTTTTAGAATCTTCGTTTCCCTTTATATAGCAATGTGATTTCCTGCCCACCCTAAGAAATGTGAGTTAAATGTTTTCTTCGGGATCCCGCAGTACAGGGTTTGGGACATAGGGGGATATTTGGGACATTGATCCAGAGTGCTCTTTGCACTTGTCTTTTCTTTGTTGGAGTGTGGGCTGGAAGTCATCAGCAGCATCTTAACTTATTTCCTTCTTTGGTATTTTCTCTTAGCTGGACATAGAGCTGAAAATCCTGAAGTCTCAGACTGGTACAGTTGATCAGAGCTTCTTTGTGTCCAGTGATGAGTTGAATGCCCTCAGGTGAGTACCAGAAAGTCCCCACGAGGACTAGAAGGAATGTGGCAACACAGACGAATTGTTCGTGGCATCATCATGTGCTTCATTCCCTCCTGTCTTCATGCTGGCCTCCCTCACTTCTAAACTTCAACATTTCCCTTGGCTTTACTCTTCTATTTCTGTAATTCAGTTTACAATTAACACCTAAAACCTGCTTAATTTTCTTCCTTTCCCTCATCTGATTATAACCTGTTATCATTCCACCTTTTCCTATACATTATAATCTCTAACCACTAAACTCCATTCTAAGGAAAATGAGAAATGCCCTTCTATCAAGTCACTAGCCTGGCCTCCTGCTTTGAAGGGAAAGGATACTTAAAGCATTCATTTGGCTCCAGGCCCTTACCTGAACCGATTAAGTTCCTGAAAGGACTCCATCCTGAGGCCAAAGCCCTATGGACCTTGAAAATCTATATCTTCCTGCAATGATGAACAAACTGTCCCTTGGTCATAACCTTCACATCCAACCATCCTGAATAGCTGTTGTACTGTATTTCTCTTCCCTTTTGTGAGTCAACTTGTTCAGAAGGCCATCTACAGTCTTCTGCTTCTTACTGTCTTCTAACCCCCCTTTAGTTTGGCTGCCAACTTCATCATTCAGCTGAAGCTATTCTATTCAGAGTTCCCAGTGATTTCCCAGTTGCCAAATGGCCTCTTCTTGATCCTCATTCTTTTTTGACCTCTCTTTGGTGTGCCAGATAGAGCACTGGGCTTGGAGTCAGGAAGACATGATTTCAAATGTGGCCTCAGGTATTTAGTAGCTGTGTGACTCTAAGCAAGTCACTTAGCCTCTGTTTGCCTCAGTTTCCTCGACAACTGGGATTGGTACCTGCCTCCCAGGATTGCTGTGAGGATCAAGTGAAATCAAATTTGTGAAGTGCTTAATACAGTGCCTGTTTAATAAATGCTTGGTTCCTTCTTTTGACATTGTCCATATTTTGTTGTCATGAATAATCTCTTCTCTAGATTGCATGGTTCTCTTCTTACCTTTATGACTTTTCCTTCTCAGTCTCTTTTGTTGAATATTTCTTCAGAGTATGCCTATCAATTGTGGGTGTCCCCAAGGCTCTGTCCTGGACCCTCCTCCGTTCTCTTTCTATACTGTCATATTTGGTGATCTCATCAACTTCCATGGGTTCAGTTATCATCTCTATGAGATGATTCTCAGATAGATTTATCCAATCTTAACCCCGTGTCCTATAGTCTTGCATTACCAGCTGCTTATTATACATTTCAAACTACATATTCTGTAGGCATCTCAAACTCTGCATGTCCAAAGTAAAACTCTGATAACATTAGTGTTATTATCAGCTCCTTACTGGCATCGATTCCACATATCCAATCAGGTGCCAAGTCTTGTTTTTCCCTTCCCAACATTCTTTGTGTGTTCCTGCAACCATAACTCTCACGCAGGCTCACATCATTTCACACCTCGACTATCATAATAGCCTTTTGCTTGGTCTCTAGGTTTTGTCTCTTGCCACTTTAGTCCGTTCTCCGCTCAGTGGGTGCCCAAGTGATCTTCTAAATGTAGGTCTGATCATGTTTGCTTTTACTGTTTACTGAAGACATATATTAGGTTCAGATTTTACTCCCTGGGAAGCAGTTATTTGTCCTAAATATTTTTGGCCAATAAATATAATAATAGTTCACATCTGCATAGCTGTTCAATAGTTTACAAAATTATTTATATACATTAACTTCCTTCAAAGATTTAAAAGCTATGAAAGAGGGATTAGACTTGTTCTCCTTGATCCCCAAAGTCAAAAATAGGACTAATTACCACAAGGTAGACTTCAGCTCATTATAAAGATGCACACTCAACTGTCTGCTGTCTCAGGGATTGGAAGTTCCCTCCAAGAGGCATACTGCAGCATATCCATGACTACCCATTCTATACAGCTCTTGTCTTCCCATAAATTCTCCACATCAGCTATGTTTTTTCATTCCATGAAACAAGATAGGGAAATACTAAGAATTCAAGCTCTCTAAGGGTAAAATAGGTTGCCCTGGCAATCACCCCTTCTCTCTCTGATCTTCTGTTTTCACTATCCACTGATTCCTTCCCTACAGCTACAAACAGGGCCAAGTCACCCCCTCCTTAAAATTAAACTTTCACTAGACAGCATTATATTTTTGTTCTATATCTCTCCTTTTCATAGCCTAACTCTTGGAAAATCCCTTTGATACCTCTTCTTACTCTCTCATAGTCTGACTTTTTTTTTTTTGTGAGGCAGTTGGTGTTAAGTGACTTGCCCAGGGTCATGCAGCTACTAAGTGTGTAGGGTCTGAGGCCAGATTTGAACTCAGATACTCCTGACTCCAAGGCCGGAGCTTCTGCTGTGCCATCTAGCTTCCCCTATAATCTGATCATCAATGTCATCACTTAAGTGAAACTAAAAAAAAAAAGCCTCAAGATCATGTCATCTTTTTACTCAATAAAATCCAGTGTCTCCCTATTACCTCAAAGATCAAATATAAAATCCTCTTTAGCATTTATAACTCTTCATAACTTGGCTCCTTCTTGCCTTGTACTTACATTCATACAATCTAGCAATTTTGGCCTTCTTACTCTTCCTTACAGAGAATGTTCTACGTACTGATGGCCCCCTGTTTGAGTTGGCTAAGTAGATCTGAGAATCATCAGAATTAGAAATGATAATTGAATCCATGGGAGTTGATGAGATCACCAAGTAAAATAGTACTGAGGGAGAAGAGAAGACGGCCAGAATCTATACAAAGGAAATACAAATAAATTCAAAGAAAAATGCAGGAAAAATTGGGTGGGAGAAAGGATACTAACAGCAAGAAAGGCTTTACAAAGAAAGTGTTAAACAGAATTTTGAACAGAACAAGTGAGGCAGAGGTGAAGTAGAAGTGCATTCCTAGCATGAGGGACAGCCACATAGGTGTTAGATGGAGTAGAATAATGATAATAATGGCCATAGCTTTTACACTCATATAGTTCTCTAGTATGTACAAAGGGCTCTACATAGATTTTCTCTTTTGATCCTCACAACAATTCAGCAAAGCAGTTACTGCTACAGTATTACCTCCATTTTATACATTAGAAACTTAGACTCAAAAATTAAATTACCCACAGTCACACAGCTAACAGGCATCAGAATTAAGGTTTCATATCTGGAATTCTCATGTTTTCAAGTCCCACAATATTACATTTTACTCTATTGATTCTCTTTTTAAAGGTAAAGAAATTAGCTGTTATTGTACACCCCCAAAAAACTATACCTATGTCTACCCTAAAGGATCCTGGCTTTTCTTACCAAATTCACTGTTTGGTGGATTTGGTACTTTCAGAAGAGTCTTATGGGAGTCAGCCTCTCCTAATCTTAGTTCCCACTATGGTTAGGCTGCAATCATATGCTTAGAACCAGAAAGAATCTTAAAGAGCATTGAGGCCAACTTCTGTTTACAGATGATGGAACAGAAGCCCAAAAATCAAAAATGTAAATTGACTTGCCTAAGGTCATACAGGTGAGAGGCGGCAGGGTCAGCATTTGAACCCAGATCCTCTGACTCCAAATCAACTTCTCTTTCTACTGTCTCATACTGCTTTTCTGTTTTTGAAGATAAAAACAATTGGCCACTTCTCTCTACCTTCACAATCCTGTGTCTATACCTACCTAAGGGATCTTTACCTCTCTTAAACAACCACTGCCCACCATGTCTCACCATGCTGCATCCGTACTTTCTGATGAGTCTTTGAAGAGTCAACCTCTTCTAATCTTAACTCCTTTTTTGTTGCGTATTCTGCTTCTCTGTTGACAAGGTCATCATGCTGTTGGCTAATTTCTGGAATTTGAGGAAGCTCTAGGTTTAATTTGCCAGTCCCCCTCTCTTGCATCCTGGTCAATATAGGTGAAGTACTTTTTCTGTGTAGGAGTTTCAGTTTCTTTGTTTCACCTCCACGATTCGTTACTTGGTATTTATTTTTGTTGAGCAGCATTTACTGCCTATTAGAAGCAGCTGGATTTCTTTGTTTTCCATGACTTCATGTTTGCATGCAGATAAGGGCTCAACAGGAAATCTGTTTTAGCACGAATGCTTGGAATTCTTTCGTTAAAGGTCTTTTTTTCCCCTTGTACAATTATATTTCATCTTTCAGGGTAAATTTTTCTTTGTTGTAACCCTTTGTCTTTTGGAATATCATATTCCAAGGTTTTCTCTCCTTTAAGGTTGTTGTTATCAATTATGGGGTGATCCTGATGATGTTTCCTTTTTACTTTTCTTTCTTGTGGTTTGTTACATTTTTATCTTTGACCTGTTTCTCCGACATTCCTGGGAATTTTCACTTTGGGGTTTCTTTCAGGAGATCACCAGCAGATTTATTCTACTTTCACTTTGCCCTTTGTATTCTAGTAAATCTGGGCAGCTTTCATTTATGATTTCTTAAAATATGATGGCAGCTAGGTGGCACAGTGGATAGAGTGCTAGGCCTAGAGTCAGGATGACTTATCTTTGTAAGTTCAAATCTGACCTCAGACACTTGCTAACTGTGTGACCCCAGGCAAATCACTTAACCCTGTTTGCCTCAGTTTTCTTGTCTGTAAAATGAATTGTAAAAGGAAAACAGTTCTAGTATTGTTGCCAAGAAAAACCCAAGATGGGGTCATGAAGAGTTGGAAATGGGGTCATAAAGATTGAATAACAACAGTAGCAACCACAAAGTATGATGAATGGCCTTTTTTTTTTTTGGTCAGGGTTTTCAGAGAGTAAAGCAATTCTTAGCCTATCTTTCTTTGATATTTTTTCAAGATTAGTTGTTTTGTATAGAAGGTACCTCACATCTCCTGCCTCCCTCCCTTTTTTTTGGTTCTACTATTTCTTGTTGTCTCATGAAATCATTGATTTGTTTGGTTTTTCTACTTAAAAAAAAAAGCTTATTTGTTCTCCTTCCAATTCTTTCTTCCAGAGCTATCGTTTTTATTTCATTTTTCAGATCT